TTTTGTACGGTTTTATTGCTTTTTTATAAAATTAGTTTGAACGTAGTTTTACGAGCCGAAACCAGTTTCGACGAAATTTTTACGAGGATTTCTTTTCCTCTTTGCAGAAACTGTTTCGTTGCAGTTTACGTCCTTTTGTTGCATCACGCCGGATGGTACATACAACTCGCAACAGCTTCATAAAGATTGATTTTATTGTGTTCCAAGAAACTTATGGACAATCGCGATACAATTCGAAGCTAGTTGCGTGATGCATCGTTCGAGTTTATTTTATTCGGTGCAATTTTCGAAGACTTTTACTTTGTCTCCGAGTGCTTTTTCTTTTAAACAGTACCGAATTTATGCCTGCGATAAACACTTCGATCATGGTAAAAGACTCCTCTTCGTACAAAAACGGCTTCGAATGACCTTCGGAGAACACACTGCACGTTAAGATTTGAAAATTGTCCTTACAGTTTTATGGTTTTCCAAAAGAATCTGATGAGTCACCCTTATATTTCGAATGAATTTGTTAGCTTTTTAGCGAAAAATATTTCTATATCTATCTGCTAATTTGCAGTGAAAATGTTACGCTAATAGTCGTCTAAAATTTTTCAAATCTTTCTCGTTTGAGTATTTCGAGAAACATTCAACCAATGAGATGTTTATACTGGAGATTGGTCCAACAATCTGTGTAATTAGAATGTTCATACAAAAAATACATATATCGTAAAATTTTCGATCGACACTTCCTATTTTTCTGAGTTTGTAAGTTCATAATAAGTAAACACAGAAAAAATGTGACTTAATAAAATCAACTAAAAAAGCCAAAGTAATCGTGAGTCACAAGACAAAATGCTACGCAATAAAAACTTATTGTAAAGATATGCAAAAGGAACGAACTCCTCGTTCCCCGTGCATAAACACGTTATGTACATAGGTATTCAAATACATGTTGCTGTACGAAAACTAACTAAGAAGCATGTAGATAATAATATCGGTAATAGTATGTTACTTTTATAATATTTTTTAGATAATTACATTCCATTCTTAACATCACCATACAACAACAACGCTTCATGAATACGTTACATACTGTCAGTCGTGTTTCTTTAATCAAACATTCGATCGATCCTTTTTTTTTTCTTCGTAAAGGTTCATCCTTTAGGTTGATTCATTAAAATTTACACATCCGATACAACCATGTAGGATGTAATATTTCCGACGTGATTAAGTGCTCCCAATCAGCCGCAATAAAGACATGTACATAGCAAAACGACGAGAAAAAGCTGCCGAAAAAATTCGTTAACCGTTTCGCTGGCAATTTACTCGTTGGAAGTCAGAGAACCGTGAAAAATTACAGAAAAGGACGGACATTAAGGGCACGTGGGCGGTAAATCCAGAAGGCGAGTCTGCACTTTTATAGAGCACTCTTGTCTGTGACAGATCGCTGATGACCTTGAGCTCGTGGTACCGATCACTATCGAACTAATTAAGGTGCCTTCGAAGAACGAATATCACTGTTGAAAACTCGTATACCTTCATACATACATATGTATATACTATATATACTACACGAGAAATAACCTGAAAGTGTAGCACGATGCTCCGCCTAATTTTGATTAATATTTATTAATAATTCTTGTATTAATTAGTGTTACTCACTTTCACGGCCTCGTGACGGAATCACGTTCGCGCCGTCGCGTCGATGAAGAGTTTTTAATCTTCGATCGTTTTATAAGAGTTCAATGTCAGATAGCTGATTTAGTGCAACCATGCTCTCAGGAATTTGATCAAAGATTTTTTGACGGTCTCATGTTTTCTTTTCGAGAGAGAGAGATATAAGCGAGTCATTTATAAGTTACACTGATCAATCTCATAGGTAGAAAAATGGCGATTAAATGGTGAAATTAAGGGGCGATTGTTTATGCATTTATGGGAAATTAATATATAAAAAAATGTAGATAGTATGCATAATACTTATTATAATGTTTCAGGCGTGAAGCAAGTCTCTATTTGCGTTTCATTTCTTTCACTGTGTTTATAAAGATATAAATTTACATAAATATCCGCAATCTAGCAATGATACCATAGGTATAATTTTTTTAAATTTATACCATTTCTTTGCGAAAAACAACTTTCTTGCAGTTTTTGATCCGTAACGCGAGACTTTAAGCTTAAACATCAACTACTTCGTAAATTTTTCAAATTTCAAATTTCAAATTTCAAATTTCAAATTTTCAAATTTTCAAGGTTTCAAATTTTTACATATACAATTATATGTACAAAGATGATTTATTATTCGATATTTAACTGCAGATAAAATATCACGTATAGGTACGCGATTAAAAATAATTCGAAGGATACATTCCACATATTTTTACAGCTGAAATAAGCCGATATTGTCAGGATACAGTAAAATGTAGCATTATATATTATATTAAAGTTTCTTTGACTGAATAATGAGCACTTAAACTACATCGTAAATGAACGTTACCTGATCGCGAATGTTAATTACTATTCAGCTTTGTGTGCATGAATAACACGATTGGTGGTACTATTAAGGGTTGGAGGTGTCAGAGCGTGCATTTCATTATTCTTTGCAACTAACAAAAGAAGGAAAAGGAACGCGGCAATACATCAGCGTCACATTTTCCTTGTTGTTATGTTCTGATTAGGACGAGATAAATTAAAATGTCATTTAATTGCGTTATATGTATTGTAGTTAACGCTTCGACGTAATGTGTAACGTATGTTTTACAATACTTTCACTTACACCATTGCGTAGCAACAAAAACGTAATCAGACGTGAATATCACGGTCATAGCTTTAGCGCATAAACGAGGTGAACTAGTGTCTTGGAAAAAAATGCCGCGATGGCGATCAGGTCGTTACTATGCTTCATTTGCTAGCAAGGGAGCGACCAGAAGGTACAGTAATCCTAGAAGAAAAGTTCCTATAACATCGACGAATTGTCTCTCGGTGGCAAATTTGGGATGTCATTGACTTGGTACAGTTTCTTGTCTTTATCAGTAACTCGATATAAATTCAATCTTTTCAATATAGCGATACGTGATGTATAAATTAAATAGAAATTAGTATATTATTATGAATCAAAATTAGGTCCACAAGCGAATTTATCTACGAATGTCCCACTGATAATAGAAATTAAAATTATTAGGACAGGTTTTAAATCCAACCCTAATATTACCGATATTGTAATTTTTCTATCATTAATGGACGTAATATGCGTATTAATGGACAGAATCTAATTGGTTCCTTTTACTTGTATGTAAAGGAAATTTAAAGTTTATTTTAAAGTTTATTGAGACTTATTCTTGGGGATATTTAAAGTTTCATTTCTTGTAAAACTCTTTCACTCAAAATTTACGTATGCAGAACACGAATATAGAACGCAATGTTTCGAGTGAACACTCCCTCAATTCGATCTTGTAACGCTAATAAATTCAGGAGACGAAGCAAACTCACTTTCGAGAATTTACCGAATATGACTTGCGTTTCGCATACAATTAGCAACAAATTATCAACTGTGAATTTCTATGCATTTTACTGAATCACACGTACATGCATTTTACAGAATGTTCACGTAGCTACAGATGAATGATAATTTGAGCTGAAGAATTCTAATGAAGAATTTTTTCATTTTCATAGTACATCATTTTTATAACCCTATAAAGATACTACAAAGTTTGATGTATTTAGACCTAATAAATTAATATAGAAATACTAATAAATACAACGGTGTTCATAGGATATCAGCCATTCTCGTTTCATTATCTGTCTACTTCCACCATCCATCGATTACCTGTCCCTTCAGTCAATTAAATGAAAACGGAAAAAGCCCGGAGAAATCTTGCCAGAGGAACGCAACATTGCTCGAAATTCATCCGATATCACGGTTTCAGTGTTCAGGAAACTTGATAAGCATATCAAGCAAACATTCTCGTTTCGTTCTCCGCCCACTTCCACTATCCATCGACTACCTGTCCTTTCAGTCAGTCAATTAAATGGAAACGAAAAAAGTCCGAAGAAATGTTGCCAGAGGAACGCAACGCTATTCCAATATTCCCCGATATCTCGGTTCCAATATCCACGAAAGATCCCTGTCCGTTCGATTCGACAATGACACGTATCAGTAGGGGC